CAACTCGTACAAACACACACAAGGTTGCTTATGACACAAAGAGAGAGAGAGAAAGAGAGAGAGAGAGAGAGAAAGAGAGAGAAAAAATGTCAACGCGACTAATCCGTCGATAATCTAATAAAAAATTTTTATTTTCAATTTTTTTTTTTTTTTTTTTTTTTTTTCCAACGTGCAATAGACTTTTTCTTTTGAACCCTTTGTCTCCCCCCCTCCCTCCCTTCCTCCCTAACAAATTACCATCAACAACATCCCAGTTTTTTTCTTCTTGGGCGTCTTCTTTTCTTCTTACAATATTTTTTTACGCTTTTCCCTTTACGACCTAATTTTATTTTTAACGCACACGCAAAAAAAAAAAAAAAAAAAACTTTTTCTCTCTCTTTTTTCCCTTCCCTTCTTCTCTACAACCTTGCGCCCCTCCCCTTCCCTCCTCCGGTAAAATAAAATAAAAAAAAAAAAAAAATAGGCAAAACAAAAACAAACTTTCGTTTAAAAATTTGCCCTCGTGTGAATGAATATGCCTAATGGATTTTTTTTTTTTTTTTTAATCGCATCGAACATCTAAATCACCTAATGGAATGCTGTAAAATCAATTATGTTAAGAGCTCGTTCGATTATATATATTATAGAAAGAGAGAGAGAGAGAGAGCGAGAAAAGATTCCAGGTCTTTTATTATTTATTTATTCCTAACAATATAATTATATTTCACGCGTAATTTAAATTTTCCAAATGCGGGGGGGAAAACAAACCTTGAGCATCGTGCGAGAGCTTAGGAAATTATAAAGAGAGAGAGAGAGAGATAGATAGAGAGAGAGAGATAGATAGAGAGAGAGAGAGAGAGAGAGAGACAGAGAGAAGGTAAGAAACGATTAGTATCATAAAATAAAAACAATTTTTTTCCCCCATTTTTTTTTTTTTTGTTTTTTTGTTTTTTTGCTTACAGATACAAAATTTCAAATACACACGCACACGCGCACACGCACGCACGCACACGCACGCACGCACACTCATATGCGTATACGAGGGACAATAAATTGTGTTGCACGTCAATGAATATTTAATGAAAACAAACGAAATAAAAAAAACGTTTTTTCTTTCTCACTACAAATCAAACCGGACGCCGGATTCGCAGAATAGAAAAATGGCGGATTTTGCGTTAAATTTAAAATAAAAAAAAAAAAAGAACAATTGCACACGCACACGCACGCACACACACACACACATCGTATCGCATCGATTAATATCGATTCGTTTCGAAGAAGCCATTCCGTAAAAATTAAAAAAAAAAAAAAAAAAAATGTCAAATTTCAACAGTTACCCACGCATAAATTATTATTATTATTAATATTTTCCCGTCTCCCCAAATACATTTCTTTTTTTTTTTCTCGGGTACAATGAAAATTTATTGTATGCTGACTGACCCAGAAAAACCGCCCACTTCCTGAATAAAAAAAAAAAAAAAAAAAAAAATCTAAAACTAAAAAACTAAAAATCTTTTTTCTCATCCAATTTTATTAAAAAAAAAAAAAAAAGAAACAGAAAATTCTTCGGAGAGAAAAATTCCAAAAAAAAAACTCTTGCGACCTGTTATTGTTATCATTATCATTATTATTATTACAATTTACAAGTTTCCTTTTTTGTTCATTTTCACCATCCCATCCCATCTCACCCATTTTTTCTTTTCTTGTCTTTTCTTCCCATGTACAACTTTCACGATTTCGTACAGGATTATGATGATTATTATTATTATTTATTTATCAATCGCATCGTGAGCGCCCCCCTTTTTTTTCAAAACTCAAATTATGGGGACCCGTCCTCCCTATACTACCGTCAAAGACTCTCAACAACTCCAACAACTCGTTTAAATAATAAAAAAAAAAAAAAGCAAAAGAACCTTAAGGCAAACCCTGATCCGGTATAATATCCATGGATTTGTGCGTGTGTGTAAAATTTTTTAAAATCACACAATAAATTTTTTTTTTTACGTCGTCGTCGTCGTCGTCGTACAAAAACAAACAAAAAAAATTATTATTATTATTATTATTATTATTATTAAATTTATCGCTCTCGATTGATTTACAATCGCTCCCCTTTCCTCTCCCCCCATTATTGTTGTTTCTCTCTCTTAAAACAAGAAAAAAAAAAAAAGCATGACTCTCATCTCATTATGATAATTTTTCTCAGGCACACACACACACACGAGATAACGTGATAACAAAAGCGTACCTGAATAAATAACAGATTCGAAAAGCTGAAGAAAAAAAAAAGAAAAAGGTCACGTCGAGAGAGAGAGAGAGAAATAGTGGGAACGACGTTAACGGGAAAACGTTCGTTTTTCGAACGCACGCCTTCAGAAAAACAACAACAGAGATAATTATTATTATTATTATTATTATTATTACGTTGCACAAATCGTTGTCGAATTGGCAACACATAAAAAAACTTTTTTTTTTATTAATTATTAAAAAAAAAATTTCTCTTGGAAATTAATAAAAAAGAAAATTAAACAGTTAGAGGCGTAATCGATTTAAAAAAAAAAAAAAAAATTTCCCATAGTTTCCCATAAACTCTCCCCGCGTTTTCACACACCACACCCCTCGGGTAAATAATAATAATAATAATAATAATAATAATAATAATAATAATAATAATAATAATAATATAAATTTACATAAAGTAAAAAAACAAAAACAACAACAACAACAACAACAACATTAACAAGGATAAATCAATTTTTTTTCCTGCTTCACATTCTAATAAATAAAATAAATCAAACGTTAGTAACAATAATAATAATATTAATAAGGAAACAAACAAACAAACAAACTCAACATAAACCTTTTACAGTCCTTTATTAAATTTTACTTTATCACAAAAAAAAAAAAACATAAAAAACGTTCAAATCGAACAACCAGAATGGATTGATTACAGGTGAACGATAAATGAAAATCACACCGATTTCAAACAAACACACACACACACAAAAAAATAACAACAACCAAACAACAACAGTCGCTAAAACTCAAAACAATTATCACATTTTAAAAAACAATAAAATCTGCATAATGCAAACCCAGAATGTGAGAGAGAGAGAGAGAAAGAGAAAGAGAGAGAGAGAGAGAGAGAGACAGAAAAAGGTAAAACAAAAAGAAAAAAAAAAAAAAAAAAGTTTTTTTTTAATGTTACATAATTTTAATGGTTGTTCTCTCCTCTTTGCAAACTCTCATAATTAAAAAAATTTTTTTGTTTTTTTGTTGTTTAAAGTTAAGTTTTTTTTTTTTTTTTTTTTTTTTTTTTTTTACGACTTTAAAATTCACTTTTATTTATTTTTGTTTTGAAAATTAAAAAAAAAGAAAAAGAAAAGAAAAATCTCATTATGCATTAGCACACAATTTTTAAATCTCGAGTGAATTTTCCCCCCCCCCCTCCCCTTTTTCATTTTATCATCGAGATTTTGATTTGTAGTATATTAAACTAATACTCCTATTACTACTACTACTACTACTACTACAACACAAATAAACAGTGATTACACATTCCATCAAAATAGATATTGATAATAATTAATCAAATAAAATCAATGTAAGTAAATAATCATTCGAATGTGTAGCAACCTGAAGTGAGGATTACAACAATCGAGAATGAATGAATGGAATTTAAAGCTCGAGAGAGAAAAATAAAAAAAAACATTTTGATAAATATAACAAATCAATCAAAGTTTATCAGTGTTTAAATAAATAAGCAAGTTCAATATTACTATCTTGATGGGTTGTTGTTGTTGTTTTTTACTCGACACACACACACACACACACACATACAAACAACCAAAATCATGCTACCGAAACAAACAAAAAAAAAATTTTTTTTAAAATAAAATCAAGTCTCGACAAACAAACATTTTTCGTTAATAATTATACAATTTGTTTCAAATGCATCATTGCAACAATTTAAATCACATTATTAAATTAAAAAATTTTTAGTAAATATAATAATAGTAATAATAAAGGAAAAAAGTGTGAAAGTTGATTTTGTAATGAGAGAGAGAGAGAGAGAGAGAGAGAGAAGGAAAAAAGTAGTGAAGCCAGTTTTTTTTTGGCAAATTTCACTGAAAAAATTTCATTTTTTCTTCGTATTTTTCTTTCTTCCTTCCTTTCCTCCCTCTTTCTCGAGTAAATATATATATTTCTTAATGAGAATTATGCGATAGTGATTATGATATCATCATCATGACTGCAAAATTTCAGTTTTTTTTTTTTTTAAATAACAAATAATTTATGTGTTGTGTCACCTCATATAATGAATTCATAACAACTTGTTTCTATCAATCTTCACACGAATGTGATAATTTTAGTGAAATAATTATTAATTTTTTTTGATTTTGTTAACAGTCATTAAAATGTAATTGATAATAAATTCAATCAATTCATATAAATACAAAGCAAATTTAGTAATAATAATAATAATAGTAAATGAACAAATGAAAAGAAATACAAGACCTGGAATTTTTCTCAACCGTTTTATATATATATATATATGTACACATAAAAGATTTGTATACATATATATATATAAAAAGATATGAAAGAAAAGAATTTAATTTAATAATTAAATAATATGTAATTAAAAATGTTTTTTTATAAATTTTTTTTTTTTTTTTTTTTTTCGTTTGCTACGAGTTGACAGCAAGTGCAAAAACAAAACAAATAAGTGATGACCTATAGATTTATAAAAATAGAATCCCAGGGCCTTTCCGCCGTCGAACGAGAATGCAAGTTATTAAAGGGCATACGTATAAATTCAAATTCATTTCAAAATCGTTTCATTTTTTTTTTTTTTTTAAACGATGTAAAAAAAAATTTCGGGGTTATAAAAAAAAAAAAAAAAAAATCAATACACCAAATACGGCATATAAAAATAAACATGGCTGCTCGGTGTAAGGAAGGGAAAGAATAGTCTTAAGTAGTATGTGAGTTATTGAAAATCGTTTTGTTAATACACTTACTTTTAATAACCCGCTCAGTTGTTGACACCTTTTGGCTATTCGAAGTCATCGTAATTTATAAATAACCTTGAACTACACCATGAAAATAGGATGCCCGCGATTTTGCCGGATAATCGCGAACTCGAAATTTAAAAAAAAAATTAACTACAAAACCTCACAACGATCGAATTATTTTAAACATTGCGCAGATATCTGCGCAGCGCATTCAAAATTAACCGGGGACTTTAGTTCGTTTTTCCGCCACGATTCACACGTAATTATTTAACATATTTAATTTAGATGGCACCACTGTGCAATATAATCGTGTCACTTTACTTGTACGCACGTGCTCGAATTTTTTTTTTTTTTTTTTTTTTTTTTTTTAATTTTCAAAAAAAAAAAAAAAAAAAAAATGCAAAGCGGGTAATAAAAATTTAAATTACACAATGTAAAACGTTTTCTAATTACTTTTTTCCTTTTTTCTGTTTTTTTTTTTTTTACCTTTTTAAAAATAATAATAATAAATACGTGGTAAATTCAAACGACGGTAAAAAAAATGCAACGTAAATGCTACTTTTGCCCGATATATAAATATATTTTACATATTTATTTTATTATTTTTTTAAATATAAAATTCATTACGAGTTCCTTTGAAATCTCAAAAAAAAAAAAGGCGGTAAAACTTGACGTAATTTTAAACATTCGAAAAATAATTAATATAATTAATTATCAACGATGCGATAAATTAACGATAACGATTTTAAACACGAGAATTTTTTTAAAAAAAAAAAAAAAATTATATAAAAACGCACGCACACGCATATACGCGAGTACTTAATTAGTACTCGTAAAAGTACTCGTTTAAACAATACATCACGTTTTATTTATATTTACCCGCAATTAAATTATCATTTTTAAAAAAAAATGGCGGTGAATATAAATTTTTCAAAAATTGTTTCGTGTCATTTGACCTTTAACGAAAAATTAATCCATAGAGTAAAAAAAAAAAAAACTCGGTGGTCGTGGCGGTTTCGTTTAGTTTTTTTTTTTTTTTTTTGGAATTGTTTCGTCGTCGCGTATAATTTAAATATCGATTATTTTTTTATTACGTTATATATTTTACGTTTTATATTTATTAGAAAATAAAAACAATTACGATTTTAAAACAATTTTTTAAAAATTCCGTTACGGATTCGTTGTCCCTTTCTTCCGTGTCGTGTTCTTTTTTTTTTTTTTTGTCAATTTGACGACATTTGTCGCAGTTTTACGCGAAACGTTTTAACGCAATATATAGTTAAACATAAACTATTAATAATAAATAACGTATTTCTTTTTTTTTTGTCTATAATAGTAAAAGAATAACGTATTGTAAAAATTAAACAAAATCGAATATGTCAATGTCATAAGTTAATAATACGAGTAAATATCAGTTTGCCTTTTCTTTTTTTTTATTCTTATTTTAGAAATATATATTATGTTTCTACGCACGGTTTTGCGCAAATATGGTTGACATTAGTACATTAGTAAAAACAGAAGAAAATTGAATTTCCACAACGCGAGAAAGAAGGCAAGAAACATAGAGAAAGAAAGAGAAAGATAGATAATTTGTTTTTTTCGGTCCTATTATTATTATTATTATTATTATTTTTTTTTTTTTCCGTTTGTTCGTCGCGAACGATCGCATACAAAAAAAAAATTAAATTGAAATTTTTTACGTTGGAATGTATTAACCGGATACAAAACAAATTTTCGAGTTGTTGTTGTTGTTGTTTGTCTGTGTCTATGTGTGTGTGTTTGTATATGTAAAATATGATTAACCAGATTTACGGTTGTTGTTGTTGTTGTTTTTTCGTGAATGACGTAGGGCAAAGTATAGTGACCTTAATGTAAATCGTTTGCAGTTTAAATCTGTTTGTTGTTCGTGTTGAACACTTGCTTTTTTAACGAAAAAAAAAAAAAAAAAAAAAAAACGATTGTTGTTGTTGTTTTAAATAAATGTTTTGTCGACGATTAAAGTGTTGTTAAAAGTGAATCAAATTTTTTTTTTTTATTAATCTTTAATCAAAATTATATTAATCCTACATTTTTATTTAATTTTTTTTTTTTTTTTTTTTTGTTGCAATGTAATGTTATTAAAATAAATTTTTTTTAAAAAAAAAAACTATCAGTTAAATGATTACTAAAAATGTTTTAATAAATATTTATTATTATTATTATTGATAAAAATAAAAAAAAAAGTTTAAATTGTTTTTTTCTGGGTCGATTTTATAATTAAATGAAATAAATAAAAATGCCCCTTTTTGGTAAAAAAAACTCGACAAAAAAATCTAAAAAAAATGCTAAGGATTACAGTCAAATGCCATCAATCGAAAATAAATATGTCATGAAAAAATTATTAGGTACAGGCGCATTCTCTGAAGTCAGATTAGCAGAAAGTAAAGAATGCCCCGGTCAGTTATATGCTGTTAAAATAATCGATAGGAAAGCGTTGAAGGGCAAAGACGATTCGCTTGAAAACGAAATAAAAGTTTTGAGAAGATTAAAACATCCAAATATTGTACAATTGTTGGAAACATTCGAAGATAAGCACAAGGTATATCTCATCATGGAATTGGTATCTGGAGGAGAATTATTCGATAGGATTGTAGAAAAGGGTAAGTTTATATGTTGTATACATTTTATTCAATCTTCATCGTTTTATCGCATTCAGTCGAATGTCCATAATAACAAATTCCATAAGGGAGGGGAAAACAACAACAACAACAGCAGCATTTGTTTAAATAAAAAATTAATTATTACACTGGGCCCTAACAATTTTAAATAAAATATTTTATTAATCCATAATTCAGTCAGACACACTCGAATAATAATTTTATTAATTTTATTAAAAAAAAAAAAAATTTATATGTCGATTAATAATTATCGCATTTTTAATTTTCATTGAACCCAAAATTATCATTATTTTTTTAATTATTTACTCTTTTTACACGAGTTAAATAACTTTATGATGACTGTTGTGATAAATCATCATCATCATCATCATTGCATGCACTTTTGACATGTAACATTTGATTTATTTTAATTATTAATAATAATACTATTCATTATTTCATTTCGATTATTATTATTATTTTTAAAAACAAATTTTTATATGTTTTAATGATATACACACACACCATGAATCCTTGATAATAACAACATAACATAATAATAATAATAATGATGTTGATATTTTACAACCATGTGTAATGATTGCCTTGTTCAGGAACGTACCATATCCAATACCTTTGCGGTTTTTACACATAGAGTAATTAAACACCTGAATCGTTTTTTTTTTTTTTTTTTTTTTTTTTCTCATTAGTTCAATAATTTATCATAATAATCCGGTGTAATAATAATAATAATAATAATAATTTAATTATCTTTTTTGTAATCATCGTCTGCTGTTGTATTATTCCTCTCCCTCTCCCCTCCCCTCCTTCATTATTATTCGAAATCAATATTAATTAAAATAATTACGTAATTAAAAATAATTTTTTCATTACCGAAACGCCATAGAGGTAAATGATAATGATGATTTAGTGATAATGATAATGATAATGATGATGATGATGATGATGATAAAAGAAATAGTTTTTTCGAATTTTTTATTATTTGCGTTCGAAAACGATTTGAATTATTCCAAAAATATACATTTTTTAGGCGTTTTAGGTCAAAGAGTAGATTACAAGGTTTGTTTTTGCTGAATCATAAATAATGAATGATGTATAATTTGCATTCCTACATATGCCAGATTGTGTTTGTGCCTGTGGTCTCGAGTGGGGAGAAAGGGAGGAAGGGGGGAGGGAAAAGAAAGAAGATTCGATACGTATACGGTGGTGCTTAAGGCCTTTGAAACGGGGATCCCTCCCCCTTTTATTAATAAAAATTTTCAATCTTTCTTTCAATTTTTTGTCTTTCTTTCTTTTCTATCTTTATTATTATTATTATTATTATTATTACGATAACACTATTGGTCTATTTTTTTGAAATTTTCATACCCCTCCCTCCCCCCATTTTGACCTTACGGGTCTTTTTCCGAAGGAGGAGAACAAAAAAAAATTCTAAAAGGATTTGTCTCGCATGAGAAAAGCGAAAAAAAAAAAGTAAGGAAAGGAGTAAGAAGGTGCGGAGAGAAAAGGGGAGGGGGGCAAAAGGGCGGTAAGAGAAGAGAGAGAGAGAGAGAGAAAATTTTTTTAAAATCTTGTTATTTCAAACGTTCGAAAATAAGTCAAAAGTTAATAACATCAAAGGAACATTTAAATTGAATTCGAATATGTGAAAATATCAAATGCACACGAAAATATTGCAAAGGAATAGTTTGGGGTCAGGGGTCAGGGGGCAAAGAGAGAGAGAGAGAGAGAAAAAAAATTCCTTTATGTAAAAAGAAAAAATGGGTAAATTTCAAAGGTTTTACGCGAGCTTGAGTTTAGATATAAAAAAAAAAAACCGCAAAATATTAATAACCCCGCCCGATATTGGATTTGCATTTAAAAAAAAAAAAAGGAAAAAGAAAAAGAAAAAGAAAAGGAAAGAGAGAGAGAGAGAAAAAAATTCTTCCAGTTCAAGAGTTCGAACGAACAAAAAAAAAAAAAAAAAACGTTTATCGACGATGATGCCCTCAAAAAAAAAAAAAAATTAAAATTTCCATAAAAGCCGTTGGAATGATGGAAAGAAGAACACCTTCTGGAGAAAAAAAATGGAAAATGGAAAATGATGGAGTCCGTGCATTGGATTTTTCGATTGATATTCGTTCAACGTAATTTTTTTTTTTTCTTTGTACCTACGCATTAAACTACGTCTTCTATTATTATTATTATTATTATTATTAATTGTATAATTTACGCGTTTCGTCATGATCGCGATCATCCAGTACTACTACTCGAATAGAACGTAGGCAGTGAGCAAATAATAATGATAATAATAATAATAATATACTTCGAAAGGAAAATGATAATTAACCGAAAATCTCCAGATGAGTTGATTGAGACGTATAATAAATAAAGAAAAAGGTTTGGAGTAGGTAGGTAGGTCGGTAGGTTGGTAGGTTGACGAAGGAAAAAGACGAGAGAGAGAGAGAGAGAGAGTAAATGTGATGCTGTTGGAAAAAAAACTTTTCTCTCCTTTTTGTGAAATTTAAATAATAATCGCATTAAAATTTTCATTTTGACAGTTTCCGTTTCGATAATTGAATTAATTACTTTTAAAAAAAGAGGAACAAAAAGAAAATGTGGGGAGGTGGAGGGAGGTGGCAGAGAGGGGGCAGGGATAGAGGGAGAAGGGGAGGTAGTGGGAGATAGGGGCAGAGGGGAAAGGGAAGAAAATTAAAATAAAATCTAAACGAAATTTTCTTTTTTTTTTAATAACGTTTTTCCGCCCGTACGTTTTCCTTTTATTTTCTCAGAATCGTTTTCACGTATGAAAATGATTGTGCGTGTGTGCGTGTGATAAGTGCGTGAGTGAGTGCGTGCATGTACGAACTTTGAAATGTTTTTGCGAAGGAAAGTAAAGGAAACCGTTTAGATTTCGAGAACAACAACAAAAAAAAAAAAAAAAAGAAAGAAAAGTTCAAAACGTCGTTTTACTGCGCAGTTTCCTGTTGCTGCAATGCATTTTTTTTTTTTATTTTCTTCTTCTTCCTCATTCCTTTTTTTTTTTCTCTCTCTCTCACTCTGTTTTTTTTCATTCTTTTCTTCCTCATTTTTTTAGTTTTTTTTTTTTTGTTGTTTTTTTGCTGCTTGAAAATTTCTTTTGTTTGCTTTTTCAATTCATTACATTTTCAGCCTTTTTAAAAAAAAAAATTTTTTTTTTTTTTTATTATTATTTTCAAAATGAATTATTCCATTGTGTATTTTTTACATTAGCTAATGATTGCCAAAAGTCTTGAAAACGACGACGACGATGATGATGATGATGATGTTAATAATGATGATGATGATGATGATGATGATGATGATGATGATGATGATGATGATGATGATGAGATTTTCTTTTTGAATCGCGATGAAAATAAATTTTTGTTCTGGCATAAAAATTTCCACGTAATATTTATTTACCAATCTTGATTACCTTATTGAATTATTTATCATCTCGGAAATTATTATTATCATTATTATTATTATTTTTACAAAACTGGTTTTTTTTTTTGCTCATTTGCATCGTGTATACGCATGTGGGGAGAGGGGAGAGGAGGAGAAAAGCTCAAAGGAAAATTTTTTCCCATCGTCCTTGATTGAAATCCCACAATCGAAAATTTGTTTTTTCCCCTTTCCCTTCCTTTTTTTTCACGTTTTCCCGAAACGATTTTCGAAAAAGCTGAGGTAGGTAAGAGAGCGGAAAGGGAGAAAGGGGGGTGGGGTGGGGAAAACGGATTCGTAATAAACCACATTTGATTTGATTTTTTTTTTTTTTTTTTACGATCGCGAAATATTTAATAAGCGTAAATAAAAATTGAAGAAAATGAAGAAATTAAATTACGATTACGTTGCCCTTTTTTACTACTACGTTTCGAAATTTTTTTTTTTTTTCGACATCGTAAATACATAAAAAAAGAAAGAAAGAAAGAAATAAAAGGAAAAGAAAAGAAAAGACGATCGTTAAATAAAAAAAAAAAAAAAAAATAATTCGAAAATGAAAAAGAAAGAAGTAGAAAAGAAAAAAGGAAAAAAAGGGAAAAATATTTTCTTCGGTCCATTTGTCATTTGTTGGAGAGAAAAAAAAATTTTTTTTTTTTTTTATTGGTTTTTATATTATTTATATTACGTATTATATATCGCGTTCGTTCATTCATTTTTTTTTTTTTTGCAAGATTTTCGATTATTATTATTATTATTATTAGTAAAGGTAATGACGCGATATTCGATTACTCGATCGATATATATATATATATATATATATTTTATTTCTTTTTTTTTTTAATAGCTCTTTGCCGTCTGCTTTTATTATTATTATTATTATTTTCATCCCTCGATCTTTTAAACGACTCGGGACGGAGATGGAGGGCATATTATCTCTCGATACGGATTTTCCGATAAAATAATAAAAAAGTCGAACGACGGAAAAATCGAATATGGCGTCGTCGTCGTCGACGTCGACGACGACGACGATAAAGTTTTCGAATCGGGGAAAAAAAAAAAAAAAAGAGAGAAAATTTGATTTTCCGCCGCCGCGAAAATATTCGAAATTGTTTTATTTGGAAAAAGGGGGTGGAAGCGGGAGTGGTTAGGGGAGGAGAAACGGAAGATGAGAAATAATAAATTGGTATGGGATGGGGGAATAAAATTCGATCACTTCCGGTTGATTTTTCACGCGGGATTTATTTATTTTATTAAAAAAAAAAAAAAAAACCCGAAGGTTAAATATTTAATTTTCGTAAAATGGCGTAGTAGAGAAAATTTTCCCGACTGGAGAAGGGAGGATGAGGGAGTGGGGAGGTAGGGGAGAGGGAAGGAAGAAGCACTTGAATTGACACGTTTGAATTGAAATCAAATAAATCAAGTTAAGGACTTTTTTTTATCAACGCCGCCCCCGCCGCAAAGAGTACACACAAATAATAAGAATTCGGTTGATCTATCGATTCGAAGTTGAAATTTTTGACAGGGGAAAAAAAGCAGAA